TAAAAGGTAGGAATTAGTGTGACAAGATTTATTCTTTATAAATGCATGCTGCTTGTATAGATTAACCTGTTCTCTTTAAGGTACTTTCAAGTGGGGTCTCATACGTAACAGCTTTTTTATTATTCTAGAACACAAATCACATGTGTCTTGGCTTTTAAGTGTGACATAATTTCTACAAAGTCTCTTTTCCAGCTTCCTTTTGCACCATCCTTTATGTTATCAAATGTTAGATTAATAAGTACATTCATGAAAACTGCTCCCTCACTCTCCATCTCTCTAAATGCCAATTGGATCTTAATGACTGTGTCTCACTTGATTGGACATCCAAAGACATCTGATTTTTTAAAACCCCATCATCTAATAACCTAATATCTGTCTATCGTCATTATTGATAAATCTTCTCCCTGCCAAACTCTATCTACTGGTTTGTCCTAGTTTCTGTGATTGGGAGAAAGTATATGCCTTTAATGCAGACACAAGTCCACATCACTTTCCTTGCAAGAGTAGCCTTTTTTTTTTTTTGGTCCATATCCTTACTTGCTATGGTGTTCCTTGCTATATTAGGCTAATAAGAATCAGAACTGAAACATAATAATCATTTCTACCCTTTACATTCTATTTCCTGGCATCCCTTCTCAAACACAAGGTAGAGCTTTCTCTTTTGGAGTTGTTACTTTATCTTCTTTTACTCTGGGTTTGTTTGCTCTGCAGACATACCTTGCCTCTTGCTTTAAATTTAGCTCTTCAAAATAGCCTTTTTGTAGAATTCGTAATTGACGATTCTTTTTTTTCTATTCCTGAATATCTTTATTTCCTCTTATAGTCATTGACATAATTATGTTTCTGCCTAAATAAGCATAACTGATCAAGCAGCAACTCAGTACACAGGAATCCATTCATTCATTCATTCAGTCATTTTTTTCCAGAAGCACCTCTTGCATATTTGCTCTATTAAAGACTTTTATTATATATATATATATACACACATATATATATAAAACCATTATTTTCTTGATATTCTAAAATATCAATCAAGACTACAAATATGCTTTGTTCTCTGGGATGAACTGGTCTCATTTTTTCCAGTTGGTTACAGATCTCCCCTTGGTTACATCAATGGATCATCCAAATGAAGAGCCTATTTGAAATTAGTGCAAATACTAATACAAACTGTTAATTAGTGTTAACTTACTTGATGTTTCCTTTTTAAAGATATTTTTGGTCTTTAATGTGAGTGAATTTAGTGATGGGAACAAAAAGATGTGAAAAAGAAGAAACAGTACTTACAAGAAGAACAATGAACGTTTTGACCTCACTAGTAATTTAAAATTTAAATGAAAACAAAATGCCATTTTCTGTGCTTAGATAAGCAAATAAAGGTAATGCCTAATGTTGGCAGGGTGTATTGAGAGGGACACTCATATACTGCAACTGATATATAGATGGGTATACTCCCTTTGGAGAGAAATTTGGCAATGGTGACAAAAAATGGCAATATTGATATACACTGTAGCAACAATAGAAGCAATGGAAATCAAATATTTTTATAGCTCTTTCTATAAAGGTTTTAAAAGAACATGTAATGATATCAAACATATTCTTAGTATAATATTACCTCACAAAAACCTAATGCAAGCTGATCAGTTTCAAAACTATGACACTTACATAGGGGTGAATGCTAGAAGATGGTACACTAAAATGTTAACAGATTTTATGTTTGAGAAGTGGATTACCATCTATTTTTCATATTTGAAATCTTTAAAAAAATTAAATGAAAATAAATATCACTTAGTACTTGATACTGTACCATTTTCAATACCAAATTTATCAAATTAAATGCTCTTAGGGATTTGGAAGGCTGAATCCTTCCATTCCTCTTAAGAAATGATAAATAATTATACTAGGTAAGGAGACTTTTCACTCTCTCCCTCCCTGCCCTGCTGTTTTTTCTTTATTCACACACACACACACACACACACACACACACACACACAGCATTCCAATTTATGGAAGAAATAAAATACTTTCTCAGCATTTGATAAAAATGCTCAGGAATCAAAATCCAACAAAATAAAGAAATGCTTGGTTTCTAATAATTTTTAATTTTCTGTATGAGATTGTGCAGGGGAAAGTAGCCCAGTGCTATAAACAGTAGTAGCTATGATAAATATATCCATAGAAAAGGAGTAAATTTATATAAAATATTTTTCTTTTTTGAATGAGTGACTTATAAGATTAGAGGATTTGTATCCTGGCTCATATAAAATATATTTCAAATGCACAGATTTCCCCAGGGCCCTGTGTGTACATGCATGCATCCTCAGTTGTGTACAGATAGCTTATATGAGGGGAGGACCATGTAAATGCTATCAGAGGGAAAAAAATCATTTCAACCTGAAAAATACTTTCTTTTGAAATGCTTTGATGACATGTCTTTCATAAAAGTATAATATTTCTACTAAATATTTCATCTCTGGCTTTAATGTTTCCTACTAATCAGCTCTTATCATCTCACCCCTTTGATCTATCCTGATGTAAACTCTCTCACTAACAATCTTGTTTTTGTTTTTTTTTTTAGTTTGGTTGTAGATTTCTGTCTATCTTGAACACTCAAATCTGAAAGTACTCATCATTTGATTTATTGGTCTTTCCAATTCCCAAGTTGATTGTAGAATCATGATGGATAAATTCTCTAAGTATCTAATTCAGAACACTTAAAAATTTTTAAAATTCTTCTGACCTTCCTGTTTCCTTTTGAGGACTGGAAACATGGACCAGAGCCTATATCCAGGGCCTTTCAGTGACCCAAATGAAAGCCCATTACAACTCTCAGGCTTACATTTTTCCTTAGACTCTACAGTCATGGAATTATATCCTGAAGTTATAGACATCTCTCTGGAAAACCATGTCTAGTTTATCATGCTTTTGGTTAACTCTTATAAATAGTCATGAAGCTACTTACTATTGTCTTTTCCTTGTTCAAACTCTGGATGGAGTCCTCAGTACTCCAACTGTCCAACTCAATCAAAGTGCAGGGAAAGAAGCGAGAAAATATACTACAACATTTACTGCATGAGTACTTCTGTATAATGGGACTATGATTTAAATCTATTTTGCATTTAAAAATTTCCATAATAAGTATATGTCATTTTTCTAATTAGGAAAAGGTAAGTCCCACTATTGATATCGATATATATATAGAGATTGATATATATATATATATAATATATATCAATCTAGAGAGAGAGAGACAGTGAGTCAGAGACAGAGAAAGACACACACACACCTACAAGGGTGAGACCAAGACCTGATTTAGAATTATACTAAACCAGTAAATATTGTTCTAAATTCTTTGTACTAAATTGGAAGTACCAGTTTCACTGCCACCTCTACCAGTTTCAATGCCCTCAAATTCATTTTCTGTGATCTTTCCCACAAATGTCATCTCTGTTCAAAACACTTCCACGGCTACCATGAATAGTATTTATGAATATAGGTCATCCATTTTAAGGCACACAAAGTCTTCTATATTTCTGTTCCTGTTCACTTCCTCACCCCATACCTGCAGCTAGGCTTTATCAGACTATTTCAGACTCCCCCCCCCAATATGCTGTATGATGTTCATGTGTCTGTGCTGTTGCTCATGCCACCCCTTGTGCTTCCCCCTTTCATCTACTTGGTAAACTCTTATGCACCCTTCAGGATGACATAGTTCAGGATAACATAATCCTGTATGTAAATTTTACTGGACATGAGCAAGGGGGCCTTTCATTTTTTCTTTCTTCCTTTCTTTCTCTGTCTTTCTTTATTTTTCCATTGCATTTGGACACCCTGCCATAACATTACTTATTTTATTAATTACTTATATACATTAGATTGAGATACTTTTTTCAGCTTACTTTCACCAGGAACCATGAAGTATGTTGGCTTCAGAGAATGTTTATACAAAATACATTAAGTAGGACAGAAGCATAAGCTTAAACTTTTTTCTTTTTAAAGAAGCAAACTAAGTCATCTTCACTCCCCCAGTTCCAGCACTCATTCTATACAAATGACGTTTACAATCTCTATGCCATTCTATACCATCTTTTCTATTATGGGAAGCCCTAGGAGGGAGCTTTCATTTATCAGCTTCCTTTCCAGGGCTACCAAAGGATGATGCTCCAGTGTTTCTAATCTACACAGACACACGACTTCCATGAGTGCTGCCACAAGCCAATGAGACCTTTTGCCTGCCTGATTAAACACACAGGACTGAAGGGCTACACGAATCCATTTCGACTTGGTTGAAGCACGAATGCTCAAGAACTTTATAAATGTATAACATTTTAAAAACTAAAAAAATCTTGACTTAGCAGTAGTACTTACATGAAATTCAGTGCTGGCTATTGTTTCCTGCACTTCTTATAAATCGTTATTAACTCTTGAGAGATATATAAACAGGCTACTTTGCTCCAGTTGTGTTTTACTTAATATTATTGATTGCTTTAAAATTTGGAATACAAATCAACGCAATAGTAATAATGTAATATGCTATTTTATTAACTCAAAAAAGAACAATCTATATTTATGGATAAAAGTTCATTTTGATGTAATTTTTACTATCTGTGGTTGGCATCGTCTTTTTCTGAGCAGAAAATGGCAATTCCTCAGGTTTCTTTGGGAATCCAAAATCTCCTTTGAGGCAAATTAGGCATCATGTCAAACACATATAAAAGCCTTTGATCTTTTGCATTATTAGAAAGTTACTAGTCTTTAGGGTGAGATTCCTAAGGTTATCCACTGTGTCTAGGTCATTCTATTCAGCTGCATAAGCAGTTCCTTTGATGGATGGCTGGTTTTCTACAACACTAGCATTATCTCAGCAGGAGAAGGCAGTGTTTGATGTGTTGCAATTTGTATTACATGTCCATGGAACATCTACAGACATTATCTCAGGAGGAGGGGTTAAGAGAAGGAGGAGCTGTGGCTAAAGACATTTAATGACAGAATGAATGGAAATTCAAAGATTGCCGTGCAGTCAGCCTTAAACACTGGACTGCACCCCCCATCTTTCTTTCACATTAATTTAAAAAATCTCCTAACCCAATTCTCATAAATACACATAATTTTATTTAATTTTAGTCACAAATCAACATCTTCAAAATGACGAGGATTTTGACAGCTTGCAAAGTGGTGAAGGCCCTGAAGACTGGTTTTGGCTTTACCAATGTGACTGCGCACCATCAATGGAGATTTTCAAGAGCTGGCATCAGGCTCCTCTCAGTCAAGGTAACATTGCCATATTTATTGTTTTGGATAAAATTGTATGGGGTATAGTTTAACATGAAGCAGAGGTGTCACTTAGGAAGCAGATACAGATATGCATATAGTTCTGAAGAGCTACTTGATTAATATCGGCTTTAATATTGAATCTACTGGTTTAATAAGTGTTCATTTTCTATTGCTTTGAGTAAAAATATGGAAATTTTCAACCAATGTAAAGAAGGGTCACAATTCCTGTGAATATATAAAATGTAAGTGTTCTGTTTAGAAAAATAGTTACTTTTAAAGGCTATCAGGGTCTGTCTGTGCCCCGTCACTAGTGCACACAGTTAGGGTTCAAACATGAAGTTGCTTACATGTTCATAAGCCACAGCACAAAAGGTAATGTTGTAAGCTATTCTTTACTAGCTCATTGTAAAGTTTTCTCTTGGGAATGTCATTTTTTTAAGGAAAAAATTTTGGACAGAAAATACATAATTCTAGTATTTCCTGACTGTGATGTAGACATCTTTGCTTTTTTTTTTCCCTTTCCCTCTCAACCCTTCCTTTGGTGGTCCACACTTATTATTTTTATTTTGCAGATTAAGACATTCAGGCAATTAACAGCTGATAATTCTGTCCCTCTGAATGTATCTCTAACTGAAGAGCAGGTCTGGGAAAAGAACATTAAGTGTTCTTCCCCACTCCCACCTTTGAGTTATGAAATTCCAGTAGAAACTTCTGTTCCTTCCTATAAATTTATGAAGGCATTTATTACCAGAGAAGTTGGAAATTATCCATGGGAATTTTGCCAATGAAAAACATTTTTAGTGAATATAAAGTTTAAGTAATCACAGTAGCTTGAAATAGATTGCTTCTTTAGTAGTAAGAGCTATAAAAAGTGAAGTAGAAAAAAACCCAAACAACCTCTATATGTTGATGTAAAAATTGGTTCTAATAGTTTTGGGTGTTCTACTAATGCTTTGTATGCTCACTGGGTTGGCTGAAAATCCTCCAAATACTTCCACAACTTCCATTGCTTAGATTACTCAAGTCAGGATTCAGCATGATTTTAGCCCAGAATGACATCTGTAGGACTAATCTTTGTGCCTCCTGATCTTTGTGGCCTCCAGTTACAGGGTGGGGAAAGAATATGCATCAAAAGAAAGGAAGAGGGAGGGAGACAGAAAGAGGCAGAGGTGAGGAGTGAGGAGGGGAGGAAGAGAGTGAGAGAGAGAGAGAGAGAGAGAGAGAGAGAGAGAGAAAAGAAAAATAACACAAGATCTCAGGAGAAAGTATCAGAAACTACCATTTTTAAAGTAAGAAATCTAGAAACAACCTTTTTTTTTGGGGGGGGGGGGTTTCAGTTAAATTGCAACAAGACAGCCAGAAAGGAGATATGTTCTAAACTATCATTGAAGATGCACTGACTAGGTACAAACTCTGAAAGCGAATATTGGTTTTAGTTCAGTGTTAGTAATATCTCAGGGGTCCTCATATATTACTGCAGAGAGAGTAGAGAGTAATGAAAATACTATCACTTACAGTTAGAGGTGCATTCTAAGACTACAAAGTTGTGTCCCTGGGAATATCTTTTTCTTCTTACAAAAAATACGTAGGTAGGGATAGGTGTACCTCTATCAGACACCAGGAACACAGAAATCGAGTGACTACTTAAACTGGCAGAGATGTGACCAAGATTAGAAGCCACTTTTCCGTGACCATAAGTGCTCCCTATGACTACAACCACAACAAAAATGATTTAATTATGTGGATAGACTACAGTGAAAGTGGTTTTTCTAGCTCACGGTGGCATAAGTGTTTTAAAGGTCTGTCAAAGTTCATAACTAAGAGTGACAAATTTGTAGGAGGAATAAGCCACCGTTTCATGATGTAAAAGTCATTACTCACACTCAGTCATCACTGGCCAGAGTTTTGGAGGAAAGCCAGGCTTGACAAATAGAAGTTCTTGAACTTCTCAATAGTGGATTAAAATTCCATATAGCAGTCTCAGGGGGTTTGTGTTTTATTCACTTATTTTGAAACAGTCCTCTACCTGCTTTACTTCCTGCCTTCATTTTTAAAACTCAACTCCCTTAGAAGTTATATCCAATTTTATTCTTTTAGATGGACCATACAAATTATTAGGATGTGGTTCCATAATGGTCAGTGAAAGGCAGTGAGAGTTGGCATTATCGCTATTTATAGCTAGTAAATAGATTGCAGAAGATACCCTGTGGGCAGACCTATAAGCATTGCCCTATATATTAGTTGCCTTTTTAGTGGCTTTGGAGGTCACTTTTCTTCTCCCACTGGTGACAGAGGGGGTTTGACGACAGCAGTGACGCACTTGGACTTTTATGTGGCCCTTCCCTGTGTATTTATTTGTGGCCAATATTTACAAAGTGTACCTTGCCAATCGACACAGTTGTATTTCTCTTATAGGGACGAGGAAAGAATTTCAAGGTACTCTACAGTCAAGGGAATTAGATATCAAGGATAAATATGATCAATGACCATATCAAATGGAAGTTTTAAAGATCTTGATCTCTTTCTATTAACATAGAAAATGTTCAGTGCTCAATATTACATTCAGCCCGTTGTAGCTGTGTAGCAGAAAACATACTGGATGGGGAATAAAAAGATTTGGATTTTAACCCTTCTTGTGCATTTCTGAACTTGGTTAAGTCACTTATTCTCTTTGAAACTAAGTTTTGTCATCTGCAGCATAGAAACAATTCTTGGCTTACTCAAAGGGCTGTGTGATTATCACATATAATCAGTGCTTAAAAATCTACAAAATACTGGGGCGCTTGGGTGGCTCAGTTGGTTAAATGTCTGACTTTGACTCAGGTTATGATCTCAGGGTCCTGGGCTCCCCAGCTCAGCACGAATCTGTCCTTCTCCCTGTCCTTCTCTGCCCCTTCCCTGCTCATGCTGTCTCTCAAATAAATAAATAAGATCTTAAAAAAATCTATAGAATACTGTAAAAGCAAACCCTGGATACTTAAGATTTTATTTATTTATTTTAGGAGAGAGAGAGAAAGAGAAGGACAGTGAGCACAAGCGGGTGGGGGTTGGAGTGCGGGGTGGGGCAGTTGGGGAGAGAGAGAATCGAAAGTTGACTCCATGCTCAGTGCAGAGCCTGATGTGGTGCTCTATCTCACGACTTCAAAATCATGATTTGGGTAGAAACCAAGAGACGTTTAACTGAGCCACCCAGAGCCCCCAAGCCTGGATACTTAAAAAAAAAAATTCTGTCCAATACATTTTAGTAAAAAGACTTAGTGGAAAGATCAGAATTTCTTCATGTTTTTCATGAACTATAATTATTATAATGACAAAACGTCTGATGAAAATTCTCAAATATATATAATGATGATTTTTTTCACCTTTGCCTTAATATTAAACATAAACCTAGGAAGATATTGCTTATAGCAAATTAAACTCAAGAACTATGGAGCAAATGATCTCTATTATTTTGAATTCAATTCCAAAAGTCAGGATGTATATCCTAATATCTTTTTTAATGCTTTTATCTTGGGAGTATACAGGAAGAATAATAAATGGAAATAAATGAGTAGTAAGTGCATAGTCTCTGATTTCAAGAAACTTATAAATTTAAAAATTCTGAATCACAAGTTCTGGGAAGCCACCAAGATGAAATAGTTTTATTTTTACTTGCAAATGAATTTGGAAACCAAAGGTATTAAATTGAAAAGGTTAAGTTCCTTATGAATATAAAAGGGTTCAGTAGGTACTGCTTCTCACGGTAATCCACTTGTTTTTCAAAATGGTGACCTGTGTTACAATTAAGCCAAGAATCTAACAGTCCAAGTGTCCTTCTCTCTGGTACTTCAGATACAATTGAGCCCTAAGAGTCATTATTCCCTTTGAATGGTTTTCATTTTGTAAGATTTTTATATTCTGTTTCCAACATGAAACTACCTATTTAGCTCAATCTTGAGGAGCTATTGTCATTTGACTAGAAATTGGCAACTACAAAAACTCATACAATTAGAATCATTTAGTTTTATTGTACTAGCTTTAAAGACATTCACAGGAAATAGAGTTCATTATTATATTGGAGTTTCTTTGTATGTATTAGAGGTGGGGGTAGGGATAGGGTTATCATACACTTTCAAAAATAGCTATTGTATTAAACCTTTAATACACATAGATATGTTTTTAGGGTTGGATTTCATCCATGATATTACAGATTTTTGAAAAAAAAAAAGATTAAAATTCAGTCCTTGCATGGAGACTGCTTCTGCTCCCTCTGCCTGTGTCTCTGCCTCTCTTTCTGTGTCTCTCATGAATAAATAAATAAAGTTTTTAAAAAATAAAAATAAAATAAAACTCAATCCCAAATGAGTGGTTGAAAAATTGGTCTGGATTATTAACAACATTGTATATTTTGGATTGATGATATTTCTTTAATTAGGAAGTAGCCTCCTTTTTGTTTATGTACTCTACTTTTTATATCCCCCCCCCATTCCTTCTAAAGTATAGGCTCTTTTGTTGGTCATTAAGAGTGCCTTGTCATTTTGAGCTTCTTGCCAAAAACTGTTGAAAAAAATGATAGTCAAACAGGACCTAGATAAGCATAGGGCGAGTGAGCCACTAAAAGTGCATCAGTAAAGCAGGGCCATGGTGTGCCTCCATCCATGTTGCCTAAAACGCACCTCACTCACTTCATCTGAGTTACAATCCTATGTAAGAAGCTAAGAAATCTGATAGGGGAAGTGCCTATAGAAATGGGACAAGTCTTGGCCTTTTACTTCCTTCTCCAGCTGATGGAGATTTGAGTTTCCACCTGACCATGCTTAGCAGAATTACTGATGGTGTAGAAGTGAATTTAGGTTCTACTCTTGTGGAAATGGAGAACATTCCTTTGCCATCACATCTTCATTAAACCTTTTTCACATTTCTGACTTGTACCAAAGCCTGGGGGTATAATAGAGAGTTTTCAGTATTTCTTAGCAATGGCCATGCCAGAGCCCACTTCAAGGCTTCAGCAGTTTGCT